CTAAAATTATGGTGATGATTCCTGGCTGATTTTGTGCAATTTGGAATCTTGTGAATGAGCTAATTTGATTGTGTCAATACTCTCCCTCAAGTTGGTGCATGAAGATCCGTAATGCCCAACTTGTGTAAAAAGTGAAAAAGTTATTGGGCTAAGGCTTTAGTGAAGATGTCTGCAATTTGCTCATGTGATGACATATGTGGTAATGAGGAGACCAGACCGGATCTTATCGCAAATAATGTGAAAATCAATCTCAATATGTTTAGTCCATTCATGAAACATAGGATTGTGGGCAATGTGTAGAGTAGATTTATTATCACAATGTAAGCTAAAAGGTTCAGGGTGAGGAATACCAAAGTCAGTGAGGAGTTGTTTCAACCAGATAAGCTCGCAAGTGGTGACGGCTGTGGCACGATATTCAACTTCAGTGAAAGAGCGAGCTACTGTCTTCGTTTTTTGTGCGCTATGAAATAGGACTTGTACCAAGCTGAATGAAGTAGTCGGTGGTAGAACGACGAGTGGTGGGACGGCTGGCCTAATCTGAATCATTATAGGCAATAACATGTAAAGTATTGGATGATGGAAAGAAAATGCCTTGGTTGGGCTGCCTTCATCAAGAAGCATAGTGGTTAGTTTCAAAAACCAGTTAATGGATGCTTGTTTGAGGTCGTAGAAGGATTTGTGGTGGCAGCAGACACGAGTGTCTCCCTTAGGGCAATATCCGGGAGGTGGTGTCATGTATACTTCTTCATCAAGATCGTCGTGTAAGAATACATTGTTGACATCAAGTTGATGAATGATCCATTGTTAAGTGGCAGCTACAGCTAACAAACACCGGACAGTAGTCATTTTTGCAATAGGTGCAAAAGTCTCATGATAATCTAGTCTTTCAACTTAAGTGTAGCCTTTTGCAACTAGGCGACCTTTATATCTTTCAATTGAACCATCTGCTTTGAGCTTGGTTTTAAAAACCCATTTGCAACCAATGAGTTTTTTACCAGAAGGGAGTGGTTCAAGTGTTCAGGTGGAATTTGCTTCAAGGGCACGGAGCTCATTAGACATTGCTTCACGCCAATAGGAACGGCGAAGGGCAGTGGAATAACAAGAAGGTTCAATAGAAGTGGTGAGGGCATGTAAAAAGTTAAGATGAGAAAGTGAAAAACGAGAATATGAAAGAAAAACAGATAAAGGGTGAGTAGTACCTGAGGTTAATGCAGCGAGTGATGATGTCGTGGGCCCTGTGTGTAGAGCCATACAAACATAATCCTGGAGATAAGCTGGTCGAGTAATAGTGCGACGAGGATGAAGAAAAGTAGAGGGAGGGAGGGTCCGTGGTATTAGCAGAAGGAGGAGTGGATGGGGTTGGTAGGATAGGTTCGGGAACGAGAACGGGTAAGGGAAGGATATGAAGAGATAGGTGGAAAATATCTGAAGTATCTTGAAAATGAAAGATGTCTTCATGGAAGGTGACATCTCGAGAAAAGAAGATTGTTTGTGTGTTGAGATTGTAGAGTTTGTATGCTTTGTGGTTACTAGGATAGCCAGTAAATATACATTTTAAGGCACGGGGAGAGAATTTATCTTGATTAGCCCATAGGGTTACGGCGTAACATAGACAACCAAACAGACGAAGGTGATTATAATTTGGAATGGTGTTGAAGAGAAGTTCAAAAGGAGATATATTTTGAAGAATACGACTTGATGTACGGTTAACGAGATATGACACAGTAAGTACACATTCTCCCCAAAATTTTAGGGGTAAGTGTGCTTGAAAGCGAATGCTACGAGCAATATTCAGGAAATGCCTATGTTTTCGCTTTGCAACGCCATTTTGTTGTGGAGTTTCAACGTAGGTACGTTCATGAATAATGACATGATTATGAATATAGATTTGAAATTTTTGTGAAAGAAATTTTTGTCCATTATTAGTGCAAATTTTTGTAACCGTGGTATTAAACTGATTTTGGACAAGGGCAAAGAAATGCATGAGATTTGTATATGCCTCAGATTTATAATGCATAAGATAGATCCAAGTGGTGTGTGAAAAATCATCGACTATAGTGAGAAAATAATGAGAACCACAAATGGAAGGAGTATGATAGCCACCCCCAAATGCCACAAAATATTCTATTGAAAGCAAAAGAACTTTTATTATCATTAGAGGAACAAAAGGCAAACGTGTGTGCTTAGAACGAGCACAAATATCACAATCTGAAACAACATGCGAATTAGTAAATAATTGGGAAATAACAAGACAGGAAGGATGACCTAGGCATCGGTACCATAAGTCTTTATTAGCAGTGGATTGCATGGAGAGAGCCACAACATTGTGGGGTTGATACACATAGAGCCTATTGCAAAAATCACCCTCTCTGCTCAGCCTCGTCGACTGTGGGTCCTAAAACAAGAAATTTTTAGAGGAAAATGAAACAATGCAATTTGTGTTAATGGTATAAGAGATTAAAATAAAAGTCGGGGATAAAATAGACATTTAAAAGGGTAAGGGAGGGAAATAGTTTTCAATTGCCAATATCTTTAATAGAGAGGGTATGTCCATTCAGCAATCTCACTGAGAGAGAAGAAGGAAGGGATTTCAAATCGGAGAACGCACGTCGGTCGTGGTACATGTGGGTGCTAGCGCCACTATCCACGACCTAATCGCGGTGGCTATCGAAGGATGAGGGAGAAAAAGTAGCGTTACCGATGAAATTGGAGGGAGTGGATGTCGGGGTGAGCAAGTCCAGCAATTTTGGTAGAGCTCCGGTATTAATCCTGGTACCGACGACGAGTTTGAGGAGAAAGAGACCTGATTTTCTATCGAAGATAATCCATGCGGTGGCTTGCCGAGAAGGGAAGGGCATGGCTTAGAACGTTGATCGCGACCAGGTGGGTATCCAATGATCCTCCATATCGGTCACGGGTGTGACCC